CACACATCCATAAACGTATCAGGACCCGAATGAGAACTCAAAGAATTAGACATTCATGTGCAACACAACTACTGCAGATGGAAACTTCATCATCCATCAGGACCGGCACTAAAACACATTAGTATGTGTGGATCCGGCTCCCATGATGCCGATCACTAGACTAGAGCAAACAGAAGCAGGACGGTCTGATGAAAGATCAGCTCAGCATGTTGTGATGCTCATTCTGAAATACTCCAGTTCTTCTCATTTGTTTGCTTTCATTCAGCAGCTTCAGCATCATCACAAATGCATGAACTCTAAACACACTCAGCGGGTCGAAGGAAGCATTACGTGACGCTGATACAAAGCTCCAGTAAAAGCGTCTCGTATCTGAATGATGAACGGAGAGCAGAGCTGTGAATCAGTGCCGCTGCATTAACCCTGATCACACTCACGCTGGAAAACTCAGAAAACAAGAAAAGACCACTGCTGTAAATAAGATTCTAGTTCTTCAGTGATTCAGAATCTGTTGATATGTGTGTGTGTGTGTGAGAGAGAGAGAGTGTGTGTGTGTGTGTGTACCAGCGTGGCCCCCTGGGAGTCGTGTCGGTTGACGTCGGCTCCATCCTGCAGGAGGTTCTGAATATCTCCCAGCATCCTCCTCTCCACCGCTGCTCTCGTCTCATTGATCATCTCCTGTGTGATGCCTGTCATGCACACAATGATTGGTCAATACAGCTGTCAATCAAACAGAGAGCTGATCCAGACTGGGAAATAAATGATTGCAATTAAGCTGAAACATCCAGTGTTAGGGGTAATGCATTACAAGTAACGCGAGTCATGTAATCAGATTACTTTTTCAAGTAACCAGTAAAGTAATGCATTACTTTTAAATTTACAGGAAAATAGCAGAGTTACTTTTTCAAAAAAGTAACTCAAGATACTTTGTTTTCCCATTTATTTGCTGACAGCTCTCCTGTTGAGAGAAATTGGGAGTGAGGCTCTTCCTTCAGCCTGAGGCTTATTCATTTCACTTTTTTAGTGTGAAATAGCCTTTACAGTTGCTTTACTTAGTTACTTTTTTATGGAGTAACACAACACTGTAATGCATTGCTTTTAAAAGTAACTTTCCCAACGCTGGAAAACTCACAGTGAAACGAGATTCAAATAACGTCAAGATGAGTAAATCTTCATCTTTCAGTAAACCTCATTTGTTCAGTTACTCAGATTGACTGTTGGGTGATTGTTTCTATTCTGTTCAATGTTTACGTCATAATCACAGTAAAAATCAGAATGGAAAAATCCAATCTTTCCAAATCTCATCTCGTCATTCAGTGATGAGATCTGCTACTTGAACGTTAGAATCTGGACTTTAAAACACTTATGAAACAAACGCATGTAATAAAGCTGCTGACATCAGCACAGGCAGTGATTGGAGGATCGGAGGTTCACCTCGGTTGGCCATGGCGGTCTCGATGATGTCGAGCGTGGGGTCGTCCTCACAGAGGTCATAGGGCATGTTACCATCTGAGTTCACTGCTAAGAGATCAGCGCCGCTGCGGAGACACCAGATCATCAGAGATCAGACCAGATCATGCCGAGAGAACACTACCTGCGTTAAAAATATATACACCACCATTCAAAAGTTTGGGTTCTTTTGAAAGAAATTAATAGTTTTCATTCATCAAGGCTGCATTAAATTGATCAAAAGTGACAGTAAAGACGTATAATGTAACAAAAGAATTCTATTTCATATAAATGCTGTTCTTTTGAACTTTCTATTCATCTGTGAATCCTGAAAAAAAAGATGCATCAGTTTCCACAAAAATATTAATGTTTTCACCATTGATAATAATCAGAAATGTTTCTTGAGCAGCAAATCAGCATATTAGAATGATTTCTGAAGATCATGTGACACTGAAGACTGGAGTAATGATGCTGAACATTCAGAAATAAATTACAGTTTAACAGATATTCACATAGAAAACAGCTGTTTTAGATTCTAACTTTTTCAAATTTGTACTGTTTTTACTGTATTTTTATACGCACTCACACACACACAGGTTTGTTTTTACGGTTTACGGGGACTCTCCATAGGCGTAATGGTTTATCTACTGTACAGACCGTATATTCTATTGCCCTACACCAACCCTACCCCTAAACCTACCCCTCACAGGAAACTTTCTGCATTTTTAGATTTAAAAAAAAAGCTCATTCTGTAAACATGCACACTCTCACACACACACACACACACACACACACACACACACACAGACTCACTCACACACACACACACACACTCACACAGACTCTCTCACTCACTCACACACACACACACACACACTCACTGCTGGATGAGGATCTTGACGAGGCCCGTGTGTCCACATGTCGCTGCAGCATGAAGAGGCGTCCAGAGCTCATTGTCCTGAGAGTTGACAGTCGCTCCGTGAGCCAGCAGGATCCGCACCATATTCTCATAGTTATCAATGCAACACTGAGACAGACAGAGAGAACGAGAGGAGAACTTCACCTACAACTCAAGCACTAGCGTGAACCCTCTTTCACTCCACACTGCAACTCAAACATTTCAATATATCATTAAATGTTCATTTTGAAAAGAAATTTACAACATGAGAAATTCAATAACAAAAGCGGCAAAACAATGTGATTTTCCAGCTCAGACGGAGCTCAGTGTGTGTGAGTGTGAGTGTGAGTCTGTGTGAGTGTGAGTGTGTGTGTGTGTGTGCGTGTGTGTTTGTGTGCGCGTGCATGTGTGTGTGTGTGTGTGTGTGCGTGCGCGTGCATGTGTGTGTGTGTGCTGGTGTGTGTGTGTTCACCTGGTGTAGGGCCGTCAGTCCGTCTTCGTTACACAGATCAGGACTCACGTTGTTCTTCAGTAGATATCGCACTGTGAGGAGACACACAGAGACATAAAGACATTCATTCACGTCCCTTCAGATTAATATTCACATCAATCATGCAGTGCAGAACTGACACACTGTCTGCGTCTTCAATTAGATTTTATTTTTATATTTCCTCTTTATTTTTAGTTAAAGTTTTAGTAATATTGCATTTATATATAAATGGGGAAGTCGTGGCCTAATGGTTAGAGAGTCGGACTTGTAACCCAAAGGTTGTGGGTTCGAGTCTCGTGCCGGCAAGGATTGTAGGTGGGGGGAGTGAATGTACAGCGCTCTCTCCCACCTTCAATACCACGACTGAGGTGCCCTTGAGCAAGGCACCGAACCCCCAACTGCTCCCCGGGCGCCGCAGCAAAAAATGGCTGCCCACTGCTCCGGGTGTGTTTTCACGGTGTGTGTGTGTTCACTGCTGTGTGTGTGCACTTATGATGGGTTAAATGCAGAGCACTAATTCCGAGTATGGGTCACCATACTTGGCCACATGTCACTTCACTTATATATATACACATATAGTTTTTATTCATTTTTATTTGTTTAATAATTTTTATTTTAGTTTATTTAGTTTTAGTTATTTTATTACTTCAAGTTAAACTAAATGAAAATGAGAATCACTACCTTGGCAACTAACAACTTTTTTTAATGGTTTTAGTGTTAGTTAATGATAATAACCCTGTACTAATCACATTAAGATAACTTGCTGAAAGCATCACACACACACACAGCGGCTCATAACGGTGTGTGTGTGTGTGTGTGTGTGTGTGTGTGTGTGTGTTTGCTCTGTCTTTTCTGTGTTCTAGAGTTCTGCTCCTTTAATCTGCGTCTCAAACACACACACTTACTATTAATGGATGGCTATATTTGACACCAACAGACAAGAGAAGCTGATTGAACAAGAAACAATGACAGAGACAGAGAGAGAGAGAGAGAGACAGAGAGAGAGAGAGTGCTTCATATCTGACACTATTAGTTAATGCGTTTCATTTCTCACAGCAGAGGAAATGAAGATGTGCTGAAACGAGCTGTGTAATAAAACAGACGCTTTCGACTGAGTCGTGTAAAGAGTTTGACGTGAAGCTCGGTGTTGTTCGCATGCCGTGTTTACAGTCACACACACAGACTAGTGTTCGTTCTCCTCCCACAGAAGACGAGGAGAAAGATCCTCTCAGTGCGGCGGCTGCATTCCTTAGAATTAGTATTTTAGTACTTTTTTTTAAAAGTACTAATTTTATTAGTACTTTTGATTGTGTGTGTATGTGTGTGTGCGCGCGCGCACGTGCGTGTGTGTGTGTGTGTGCGTGTGTGTTTGTGTGCGCGTGCATGTGTGTGTGTGTGTGTGTGTGCGTGCGCGTGCATGTGTGTGTGTGTGCTGGTGTGTGTGTGTTCACCTGGTGTAGGGCCGTCAGTCCGTCTTCGTTACACAGATCAGGACTCACGTTGTTCTTCAGTAGATATCGCACTGTGAGGAGACACACAGAGACATAAAGACATTCATTCACGTCCCTTCAGATTAATATTCACATCAATCATGCAGTGCAGAACTGACACACTGTCTGCGTCTTCAATTAGATTTTATTTTTATATTTCCTCTTTATTTTTAGTTAAAGTTTTAGTAATATTGCATTTATATATAAATGGGGAAGTCGTGGCCTAATGGTTAGAGAGTCGGACTTGTAACCCAAAGGTTGTGGGTTCGAGTCTCGTGCCGGCAAGGATTGTAGGTGGGGGGAGTGAATGTACAGCGCTCTCTCCCACCTTCAATACCACGACTGAGGTGCCCTTGAGCAAGGCACCGAACCCCCAACTGCTCCCCGGGCGCCGCAGCAAAAAATGGCTGCCCACTGCTCCGGGTGTGTTTTCACGGTGTGTGTGTGTTCACTGCTGTGTGTGTGCACTTATGATGGGTTAAATGCAGAGCACTAATTCCGAGTATGGGTCACCATACTTGGCCACATGTCACTTCACTTATATATATACACATATAGTTTTTATTCATTTTTATTTGTTTAATAATTTTTATTTTAGTTTATTTAGTTTTAGTTATTTTATTACTTCAAGTTAAACTAAATGAAAATGAGAATCACTACCTTGGCAACTAACAACTTTTTTTAATGGTTTTAGTGTTAGTTAATGATAATAACCCTGTACTAATCACATTAAGATAACTTGCTGAAAGCATCACACACACACACAGCGGCTCATAACGGTGTGTGTGTGTGTGTGTGTGTGTGTGTGTGTGTGTGTTTGCTCTGTCTTTTCTGTGTTCTAGAGTTCTGCTCCTTTAATCTGCGTCTCAAACACACACACTTACTATTAATGGATGGCTATATTTGACACCAACAGACAAGAGAAGCTGATTGAACAAGAAACAATGACAGAGACAGAGAGAGAGAGAGAGAGACAGAGAGAGAGAGAGTGCTTCATATCTGACACTATTAGTTAATGCGTTTCATTTCTCACAGCAGAGGAAATGAAGATGTGCTGAAACGAGCTGTGTAATAAAACAGACGCTTTCGACTGAGTCGTGTAAAGAGTTTGACGTGAAGCTCGGTGTTGTTCGCATGCCGTGTTTACAGTCACACACACAGACTAGTGTTCGTTCTCCTCCCACAGAAGACGAGGAGAAAGATCCTCTCAGTGCGGC